ACTGCCTGAAGACATGCAGTCCCTGATCTGTGGAATAACTCTGGGAACAGCAGGTATCCCATCACCATTATCTCTCCGGCTTCTCCTTCACGCGGCCTGAACAATAGCTGGGAGTACAGCCCATAATAAACTGTTCAGCGGCGTGTAACAGCATCTCCAGGCAAAATCAATGCCCGGCCCTCCCCCGGGATTGATAAAGGCAAGATGTGGAGGGAACGCTTTATAATTGGCAAGCAAGAATAGATTTCCTGTCGGGAACACGGGCCAGCCATTAGTTTCTGGAGTGGCTTTAAAATCTCCCATCAGTTACAAAGTTAACGCAAAAGCTTATGTTACCATAGTGCCTTTGTTGGGGGTTGTTATTACGTGGCTCTATGTTTTGTGGGATGGAGAATATCAGGTATGCTACATACATTACTATTATAGTATACTACGTAAGATGATCCAATCTCCCCGGCGCCAGGTTCAAGGCTAGATGGATCAGTTGGTGGTTTGGAAGCTGCACCATGGATTGATCTCCGATAGTGGATGGAACATTACCAAGGGGCCATTCTTGATAGGAGAAGTGAAGGGGAGTAATGCCCTATGTTGCGCAAAGCCCATATACCAGTAGGCAACTACAAATGTATGTACATGCACATGTACATGTGTGCTGAGTTCAGAAAACATAATTAAGACCACGCATTTTCATGAGATACATTTATTAGCTGTGTTACTGCCTGAACGGTTCTTTACATATCACATGTAGATTTAGCATTTTGAAATTATACGTACATTTTGCTAGCAGCTCATATAAACAGTTGATGTCATAAATCATGTTCCAATTTGATTCCTGAAACTTGTGAAAGTAGAAGTTTGTAATGGGTGCTGAGGAATGAGGATGGCCCATCCTGGAGATCCAGTGGCTGTTCAGTCTACTGTACAATACCCACAGGCATCAGACTAACCCCGGAGTGGCTCCACACTCACAGTTTCATTTTCGCAGGGAGGTTGAGCTTAATGAAATCTGGGACCAGGATGCCCCAACTCCAATAACAGAGTTGCATGGATGGATCTGTACTTCCCATCGTAAAGAGTTCCTGTTAAATAGACTTGGGGCACTCGTGTACATGTGCAGTGTCGTAATATTTTGCTGATTAGCACATTTTACACATACATTGTACCAGCTGCATAAATCACATTGATAGGCCACCACAGACACAGTAACAGTTAGGCCTAGGAAAATAAATGTTGTGTTTCCTGTTTCCCGACCGACCCTAAAAAAAAACGCCGACCCTAGCCTTATTTTTGTGTGGACCCCTGCATATTGCTGAACCAAAACATTTTGCACGACGCTACCGAGAGAATCGCTGTCATTGGTGGAACATCGGGCGCCCCGCAAGCGTTTTGAAGTCGTGTAAACAACGCTAATAATTTGTCTGATTTGTTTGTAAAACAAAGCCATCGACTCCGAAAATAAGTTTAAAAGCCGATACATTTACGAACTAATCGTAGAAAATTCCCTACCGTACTGCACCATCAGCATGCGGCGGCCGCAAAAATTCGGCAACGCGAAAGAAAAATGTCTGGTCCATGATAGCAGTATTTCTCATAAAAATAATGTATATGATTTATTTTTCCCCCTTTGTCGGTCTTTTAGTCCCAAAACGTCTAAAAAATTTGCCCATAAAACCGGACGAGGAAAGGTAGCTTTCGACGTAAACAAATTATAAGCACATGGCGAAAATCAGCAAAATCGGCAACGGGACAGAAAAATGCCTGGTCCATTTATCGATATTTACCATGAAAATGTCGTCTGTGGTGTATTTTTCCTCTGATGTGAGTTTTTAGGTCGCAAAACCTCTAAAAAAGCAGAAATTTGCCCACGAAAACGGACTGGCAAGGCATGGGGGAGGGCGCTGTTGACGCCTGCATGACCCCCAAAGGTTGAAGGTCATAGGGCACGTCCATTGCGCAATAACCTTAAATCGCCGATTTAGCTAATTTTTTGGGGTTTCAAATTGATACAATCACACTATCGATTTTTAGGCAAACAAAGGGATAGAAACCAATTAAAAATTTTGTGCAGATTAATTTTTTTTCTTTTAGTAATTCTTTTTTGTTCTCTTTTTTTCTTCCCAAATCCCTGGGAGAACCATGAAAACCTGTAGACTTGAATCAGGACCTGAATCTGAATTTAGCCCTGCAAGGGCTAGGGACATCTGTTAAGTTCTTCGAGCTGATCGACCGTTTAAAGCTCCATGATCTGACACCTGAGTACCTGAGTGATGAAATATAATATTGCACAATCGATTTTTCATCATGTTCTGCTTATATAAACACAGCAATCAGCAAAGTCTAAAAAAAAAATAAAAAATAAAAATAAAATAAGATAATCCCTACCTACCGACCCTAATTTTTTCTGGACTGAAACAGGAAACACAACATTTTTTTTCCTTGACCTTACTGAATGTTCTAACACTTACAGTGATTCGATCTAACAATTTCACTTGTAATTTCTGCATTTTGGAATATGACTCTTACCTGACTTGATATGATTGATTTACATGTACAATGTACAACAATGTAATTTTTGCTATTGGTTGCTTCGTAATAATTGTATCCCCTATACCAAGGCACAGCTAAATAGGGTTGATTGACTGTACACATCTTTCAACAGCGCCAACGTCAAAAATGAAAATTGATGATGTTATAGTGGGGAAAGTTGAACCAAGATGATTGACACTTGCCTATCCCTGCAGGGAGAGAAGAAAGAAGAAGCGGAACATGAACAGACAGAAGAGGAGAAGGCCAGAGAGAAGGCCAAACCTGTGGCTACACAGGGGGTACCTGGTACACCATGGTAAGAACACACAGACTTCACATCAACTTGTGTCACTACCTATGTTCATCAGTGTCAACAACAAAACAACTAGGAATCCCTCACGGAATTGAAAGTGTTTACTCAAGATGGATGATTATTAGAAGATATTAGTTATGCACATGTCCACACAGCACTCAGAGATTGTGTGTAGCATACCTCTGACTGAGTTTGCAACCAGTAAGTGGTGAAACAAACATACTTCCACAAACAAACATGTAAAGCTTGCAGTACATCTGCCAAACACTAGAAAAACATCAAGATTCTTCCCAATGGACAAGGTGTTCCAGTATGTTTGATTACAGGTAAGTCCTGTTAAAGAACTGATATCAGATACAGAAAGTGCATTATTGTCAGTTTGCTTAATCACCCCTAAAAATCAGTTATGGATTCATTGAAGAATCACATATTGTTGAAAATAGTCCCGACAGTGAGAGGTAGACCAAGAACAGAGCAGTTGCATTGATCTAGCCTCTGGCTGCGTCAGAAATGTTCCAGTATGGATTACTTCTTACCAGATGGATTAGGGAAGGTAATTTAAGAAGCGGGATCGTGAATAATAGATAGAACTGATAGATGTGACCATGATAGGAGGATGATCCTGATACACATACTGATGCTGTGTTAGTTACATGTATGTTCCGTGCCCATATTTCCAGTTCCGTGTTTAAAATGACAACCACGCACTGTAAGAGGGAAAGGTAAGGAGATTTGGTGGTAATGCGTAAATCTCGGTGTAAAATTCCGAAATGAGCCGGGAAATGTCACAGCGGAGTAGTCTCTGTCGTTATCATTGGATAAGTAAGGTGGAAATATCAGAGTGCTATGTGC